TTTTCACATAAACATGTTTGTTTTTCCCCTCCATCATCACTATTCTAATTTTTACACCAATAAAAAAATGAACTAACATAAAAAATTAAAACATTTTTTTCCCTCTTTCACAAATCAGAATTTCTTTTTTTTCTTGCATGAACTTAAAGAAGAGTCTTTATAAGACACAAATGAAAGAAAACATGGTCTCGTCTGCTAGATTTTATGGTTCAGTGGGTTTAACACCATATTTTACTCTGGTTGTTCCACTGTCAGGTACCGTGATGTAAAAACTTAAGACAGAAATGTAAGAAAAAATTCGTGTAAACTGAAAGCTTATTTTGCATGTGATTTTATACACTACCTCACATTTCACTGACAATATACATTTATCATATGCAGACAAGCGGACGTACGGACGTACATAATTCCTCACTGAGGCCAATTGAGGAACATTTCATGTAGAATGCTTTTCCTGTAAATAAGTGTACAGAAATCTAAAAAACATAATAAAAAATATTCATACCCTCTTCCTCAGTCTCTAAGAGGAGAGAGGAACTCCCCATCTGTTTTACCTGACATCTCTATCAGCATTCCTGTGTGCTTGGGGAGCTTTCAGGCTGCAGCCCCCAGCCAGAGCGGAGCGAAACGCCTGCTGGAGAGTTAAAGATCAGCTCTTTGGCTGCCAAATCTGAATAGCTCTTTTCTGCAACACTGAAAAGCAATGAGGATGCCTCAATGAACACTCTAGGTTGTTTACGTAGACGAACAGTTGAAGTTGCTTTTCTGGCCTGTCCTCTCTCTGTAAGCTGGCACGGTCCCATCAATCTGGAAAGGCCACACGGCTCGTGCTGCACGCTCCCCTCCTCACTCAGACAACACCAGTTCATTTTTGCTATCTGAAACATGTATTCCATTAAGTTAACAAAACGGATTCTAAGTGACAATACAGGCTTTGGATGAGAAAAACCTCCCTTAATAACCACATGTCCATTCCTTTACATTTGTGTATTGCCCAGGTCCAACTCAGCACAGGGATGCCGCAACAAACGTGAGCCTGAACCCTCCAGAAGGAAGGACTGCAACCGGCATTTCACCCTCACCTTCAGCACTTCTCCCTTGAAGGAAAGAACCACCCACACCTTGTCAGGTCCTTGAAGAGCCACCTGAGCTCGAACAAGGGGTTGGGGAGTTTACCTGCTGATAAAGGTTGGCTTCCAGTACACTGCATGAAAATACTGACAAGGGAGATTTCAGGGGGGCAAAGACCTTGCAGCTTTGCCCTACAGAAGCATAATCATGTCTCTGTAACAAGTACTTGGGATAAACAAAGTCTGTAGATTAGAAGGAAATCATCTTCCTTTTTCTCTACACACTTTCTTGAGAATCCACTGCTTACTGCCACTACAGCAAATTACACTACATATTGCCCTGTAAAACAGCATCTACAAAGTATTAGCCGTAGACCTAGGGATCTTGATCTTTAGCTCTTCTCAGTTCATTAAAATACCAGTTTTCTATACTTTTAAACCACTGTCAATTTCAGGGATAATCCATAATGATGGCATGTGTGTGGCACAATCTGATGGATACTCGGCTTATATTTCAGGTCCTATTTCTCATGTCAGGCTGTCTCGGTCCCTTTAGTATATTGAAACCTTTCGATTAAATCCTCTTACTCTACTGCTTCCCTACTGATACTCCCCCTTTGTCTGGAAAATTTTAATTACTACAGTACTGCATAACTCCATTCAGTGTTCCGATACTACCTCTGTGATAGGAGCAAAAGCAATTCCCAAGACAGAATGCAAGTATAATACTCTATCACTATGTCTTCTTTTATGGCTCCTAGAACCCTCTTTATGAGTGCTAATATATTGTGGTCTCTGTCTTTCACTTACTGATTTCTACTCTCCTTCACTCAATGCGTCCTTTTTCTCACCCAGAGAATTAACACCCCGTATCTGCTATCTCCCTTTCCTGCTCCCAGACATAATGTAGTGAATTTTTCTTCTCCTTGTCATGTTATTTCTTCCCATCTCTCAAATACAGGAGTCTATATTATGGTCTACATCTTCTGCAACACAATTAGCAGCTAGGATGCAATAGCCTGTACTCAATGTGTTGCTTAACACACAGCAGGTGGACTGAATACAAAAGTCAGAGCAGGAATGCTGAAATCTTCAGAGGACTAAAAGGAAAGCTGAACGATAGAAGCTTAAATATACCCTCAGAGAGGAATGTACAGCTTTCCTAACCTATTGGTTCTGCTGGGTTGCTGGCTCTAGATGCTGACAGACAATGTTCTACTGCAGGACAGGTAGAATTTTACGTATGAACTGCACACATACGTTATCATATAACTTTAAATTAAAACTCCATTTGACAATTAATAGTAATGGCCTCCTTTCAGCTAGCCCTCCCCACTTTTGCTCTCACGGCAGCAGTATTGGCTGACACTACCAAAAGCCTTCAGGGGAACAGGTCAGTAGAAAATCTCTGCTCTGCACTAATACATTTCAATACCTGAGAAGCAAAAAAGCAGCAATTAAGCACAGCAAAATAAATAATTCAATAGTTAATTTGACCTGCCAGATTGTGGAGTATTTTCTTATATCCTACCAGCTTGTATTTTAGTTTAGAAGAGGTGTCCCTGGAGAGTAACGCTGTGAGAGCCCGTAAAATGCTACAGTGCAATATAAGGCAAAAGCTCACCGATAAATGGGGCAACTGTTGTTTAAAGAAAAGGCTTTTTGTTGTCAGAGTCCTGCATATTTCATGAGCGAGTGATTAAGTCCTTCTCTGATTCTTTATGAATTAATCTGCCAACTGATTAGGCAGGTAAAGCAGCCATAGACTGGAAGACTAAAATCGCTCTGCAGGCACTTGACTTGTAGATGGAACACAAACCAAACAAAGCTAATGCTTTCCTGTGGTAAAGGAATTCACTTCTCTTTAATTGCCTCACAGTCCACAGACAGCTTTGAGTGGGAGCAATCCATGTGGCCTCTGAATACATGAATATACATCGAAAATAGGGGGAAAATGTTCATGCAAGATGAGACTTAGTAGGAGAATAGAACAGCCTTGCTTTAAGAAGCTACTCCGGCCTGACTCCTAAGTCTGAAGGGTTATGGAGTAGGGGTAATGTTAACCTGGTGGGAAAAAATAAAGCAGTCTAGATGGAAGGACTTTCAGGCCTTCCAAGTAAAAGAAGATGAAACGAAAGTCAAGACTAATGGCAACCGCATGAGCACAAGTGGACAGAACTAAAACTAGGAGGAATCAGGTAGAACAAGGTTTGAGATGGCTGCCAGCAGCTCCAAAGGGCGAGGGGAACAAGAAGAGAAGCACCAGAAGGCAACAACCCAACCTTCCATGTGCAGCTCTGAAACAGAGGGATATGGGATGCTTCTGGTATACGTTTGCTCTTCTCATTCCTCCTCTGTGGCTACTCCAGAAGCCAAGTGGTCTCAAAGCAGCTGCACAGACTGGCTCTGCAGAAGTACTGAGACTTAAGAGCACTTGTTGAAAGGAGAGTACACCGGGGAGGATGCAGTAAATGCAAACACTTTCTGTCTCAGATATACACACACTCTCATCTACCGAGTAGTCTAGGTTCTTGCTATGCTGATTTCAACCATTTCTGACATTAACACAAACCTTAAAATGCAGTAAGGTTTAAAAAAACCCCCAAAACCAGACTAACTACAAACCCCTTTCCTGCTTACTGACACCACTGCCTAGCTTCTCTGGGTAGAGCACATCAGTAAAATCTCACTTTGGTTTTTTTATAGAGGTGATAACAAATTTCTCCCCAAGGCTCAGAAAACAGCAGCTTGAGCAGGACAAGCACTGGGAACAGCAGCCAGGGCACACTCTCCCCAGCCTCCAATTCTGTCCAGTAGCTGATATTACCCCACATAAACATTTGTGATGATTTGAAAGATCTAGTTGCTTCAAGAGTAAATAAATAGATTAAACCAGCTCTTAAGCCTCTATAAAATTACTACAACCTCTATTATAGTCTTTCACCGTCGTGGGGAAAAGAAAGAGGTGACATAAACCAGGTGCACTACAACACTTACTTCATTGCATCTTCCATTTTAAAAAGTTATTCATGAACATATAAAAATAAATGCTCCACTCCTTTGCAATTAAGTTTCTCTCTGGTTGTAAGTACAGCTATTTTTAGTTTTAATTTGGGGATATCTCGCAGAACGGCAGAGCACAATCAGCTCCACCATAACCCTGCATCATCATTATCAAATACCAGTCTATCTTTGGAAAAATACACATTTTACATACTGAAAGTCCCAGCAGCCCTTTTTCAGCTGACTGTACATATCAGTTCCTTCAGCCTTCATTTCCAGTAACACTGAATATTGGCCATGAAGTGGTGCTACAAAGATTTACTCCAATTGCACATCTGGTCCATTAAGGCCAAAACTGTGCTTGCCACAGTCAATACTGCTCCCTTGCAAAATAAAGGGGATGAGGAAAGGCGTGCTAATTTCAAGCCCCATTAAAAATGCAGGAAATAATTCAATGTTTCCCTCACATGCAAACGCAAGAAAATTTATGAGCAAATCAGATTGGTATTCAAGTTGCTAAGAAGAAATGACAGAAAATACCACAGAGATTAAAAAAAAAAGTACTTGAAAGCACGCATCTGCTTCCAGCTCAGAGCCTCCTTAATGGTGTCTCCCCATTTGACTGCTTTGGAGGTTTCATATTCATCGTGGTTTAAATTACTTCTCTCTCCATTGAGCTGTACTAGAGCAGGCACAACAGCTTTGTTAATGGATCTTGCAGCCATTGCAGAAGATTGTCAGCAATGTTGCAATAATCAAGAATATTATTCAAAAGTAATTGCTAATGTGATAACACCAGCCTACAGCTGTCTCATCCCTGCAGTTTTTCAGCTTCCCTGTTGCTGAGCAATTCTTTTTCACAGCCTTTGAGACACAGGGCACAGTGTAAGAGCACTGCTTTCCCTGCGGGAATAGCCAAGAACTTACCAGCCGATGTTGAATTCAACGTGAGCATCAAAGAATCCGACGACAGGAGAGGTTGCTGCTTTCCAGCCTTGGATTCTGGCTCGAATCAGTCCTTCTCGTTTGTTATTGCGCACTATTTTCACCAGGCCTGGGTATCTTTTATTGACATACTGGTCCAAATTAAATTTTAGCTCAACTGCAGCACAAAAGAAAGCACACAAATATTCAGAACGAGAAAAGCCTCGCAATGTTACGGTTTATTTTCATTTATTCTGCAACGGAAAGGGAAAGAAATCATTAAATATTCCTATATCCTTTGTCAGCCTCATGTATACAAACCAAGTCCTGCAGTGGCGGCACAGACTAGTTCCAGGGGTATTAGCTCTGAGAAATGCTCTAGACATCAGAGAAGCTACCGCTAGACTTGAACAGGTTTAATAGGGCCTGACAGATTTGAATACTGCTTTGAAGAGGTAGTTTGTCTAAATATTTTCAAATAATCACTGTTCTGATTCTCTGATGATTTGCATTAAGTTACAACAGACCTCTGGAGGAGCAATTCTGACCTTACAGCAGAGAAACTCGTGATTATTTTTTTTTTTTCTGATTTATGTTATTCAGTAAGAGTTTGAAAAATAACCTCAATGGATTTTGGGTCAAAACCTAATTCAGATCAGAATTAATTGCCCTTCATTTTAAGGGTTTTCCCTTAAATATAATTAAGACTCCTCAATACCAGGCTTCTTCCCCATTGAACTAAATGGATATTGAAGATTTCAAATAGATGACTTCTCTTTTGTTCATTTTCAGGCATTCAACTGCAGACGGAGCAGAACTCATTCACTCCTTTATTCAGCTTCATTTCAATAGGCTTATAAACAGGCAAATTGCAAAAATAATCTCTGTACTTTTAAAAAATCAATCCAGTTTAGTAATTCATTTGCACACCAACTTATTCATAATGAGGCTTTTACTCAAATATATTTATTAGGAAAACTAGTAGAAGCTTCCAGGATATTAGCAGCCTCATTCTTCTGATCTATATTACACAGTAGAAGAATTATCACTGGAATCAAAGACCTGATAAATCTCCTGCTATCTAGAAGAATGACAGAGAAAAGCTATATAAGATTTCACTGAGAAAAAATGATTCCAATTCCCCTCTGTAGTGCACTGACTCAAACACCTTGCACTCTCACATAATTACTCCACAGGTTACATCATCATAACTGAAAGCAGGATTGGACAAAAGGTTTCTTAAATCTATAGGTTTTGGAACTTGTTTCTGTTTTAGTGATTTGTTGTCTCAACCTTTCTTTCTCTTTGGAGATCCTGAAGAGGAACAGCAACTGAAAGGCTAAAAGCTGTTGGATCTGTGGAGGAAATGCTGAAACTGGGCCATATTTTCACAAATATGATTTGAGAAGTTGCAATAGTTCTAGAAGTTTAAGATATAACAATTTAAAACATAACCCTGCTAGTCATCTGTACCCTATAAGTTCTTAAAGCCTGATTGCCCTGTGAAACATGCTGATCAATAGCACCCTACATGTTCACCAATAATTTGAGTTTTGATTGCTGTAACAAATGTGCTTTTATTAATTAACTAGATCACCTAAAACCAGCATTCCCTTTGTGTCCATTCTGTTTCATTCTCATAGTCTTAATTTACTCCCTACCTCAAAAAAAATCAGACTCAAAATCTGATATTATCAGCACCTGTTTAAATCATGAAGAAGCAGAGTGTGCTGTCACATAAAAGAGTAGAAACTATCTTTAAGGTGAATCTGTAGCCCCACTTTTCCTTGGAAGTAGAATCTAAGCTTTTAGTCTATTAATGATGCCATTGCTCTGGATCTGAAAATTTGGAGAAAAGTGTCATTTTTATATGAAGATTGCTTACATCAATATCATTCATCCTATGAGGATTTCAATGAAATCAGTAGGGTTTACCCATATAATATTTATTTGTATTAGAAATTGTCAATATTTACTCAGAGCTTTGTGCAAGTGGCTCAGTAAACAAACACAAATTCTTGTAAATTCTACTGACTTCAACAGAGGTACGTTAATTTACACCAACTTATGATCTGGCTTATTAGCCATAAGCCAGTGTTTGCTACATATGACCTTTCTCCCCATCTGTTTAAATGCAGAATGACTCGGTGTTATCTCTTCACAACAGTAAAAAAGTCAAAAAGAGAATTTCAGATAGTAGCAACGAAACTTCCTTGGTCTGTTAACAACACAGAATACAGTACTTGGAGGACAAGTTACGTATGTTCACCATTGTCACTGTTGTCATCCACCAGAATGATCTCCTTGAGCAAGTGCGACGGGGTGTGATTCACGACGCTGTGCACAGAGCGCAGGATGACGGAGAGCGCCTCGTTTACAAATATAAAGACCACCGAGATCTGGGGCAGGTCGTCTGGGTAGGTCATCTGTTTGCACCTGAAGAGAAGAAGGAAAGAATTAAAAGCCAAGCAGCCACGGGGAGGTAAAATACACTGCAGAGCATCCTCCCTCATTGCTCTCCAGCACATAGGGACTGGCAGGCTTTGCTCTTTCTAAACTCAAAGAAAGACGTGGTTAAATGCTCAAAAGAAGTGACAAAGCTAGGAGCAGTAATCCTTCCATCAACTCAGTGAAAACCAAAGAGTATCTGCATGCACACAGACTTGTAGTGGCTCTCATTCTCTGGAATGGTAAAAGCAGCTCTTGAAAACCAAATGATTTTGCTCAAAAACAACCTGGAGAAGGCCCATAACGCTATAGCCTCTCTGTGCTCCCAGGGGAACCGTCAGAAGGTCTGCTGTTTACTCATAATTAGATCTGGTACTTTTAAAACCACGACCCATTCAAGCAAATTTTGCGTGTGCCCATACAAAGAGCACTTGCCACCCTTTCTAATTTCGCAGTTTGTGCGGCAATAACAAACATTTTTTGTACAGGCATGTACTTGCTGAAAGACTTACAAAACAGATCTGCTCCATCTGAGACATCACCTCGCCAGGCAGCTACATCCTGAGATTCACAAATTCCTTTTTTGCTTGCTCACTGATGCATATATGCTAGCACAGACCATTTTGAGATGAAGAAGTGAGGTCTGGAGAAGTCACACAGAATAGAGCAGAGTCTCTGCTTCCAAAGCCCCCACAGCCCATTCCCGTCCGTGTAACACCATACTCCTTATTTTAGTGGAATTCTTTCCCACTGGCGAAGATGCTAACTTAAGAAAATTACGTACATGTTCTCACAGTCAAAAGCCGCTCAAAATTACCATAGCAATTACTGAACCTGCTCTCTAAAATACTGCTAATGATATCACATGAAATGACTTTTCCTGCTCTTATCAAACTTTCTGACCTCTTTTCTCATTACTCTGGCATAACAATCGCTTTTTTTTCCCCACTATCAGCAGTTGTGGGCAAGAGGAGGGTGACAAACACTTGACTGTTGGTTAACCTCCAGAAATTGGTTATGAATTCTAGTAAAGTGCAATTATTAATAATTCCTACTCATCCTAGCACTATTTGCTCAGAGACCTGAGCACTCACCGTTGACTACCGTGTTACTATAGCTACTTCCTAGCAGCTTGTTGCTGGCCTGTACCATACAGAGGACCACTGCGTGAAACTTCTGGCCAGGGAGCACTCTTACACAATCTAAAAAAAAAACCTAGAACGAAGACAAAGACTTACAGGAAGCGTGAATGCTCTGACACGGCCTCCTTTTTGAATTTCTTTACAAACATGGTCTTCCCGCTCGGTCCCCATGTGTTGTCTGGTCTAGTTGAGAGGTGGCGTCCCTGCCCATGACAGGGAGGTTGGACTAGATGATCTCTAAGGTCCCTTCCAGCGTAGGCCAGTCTAGGATTCTATGATTCTATGATTCCTCTTGATCACACCAACATATCAAAGAATGAACACAGGCTGCTTTAGATATAAGGCTATATTGAATTTTTCACCCCACCTGGGTTAAGTCATTCTTATCACAACCTTCCTTCTGTCAGTTTTCCCCTTAGTGGTCAGGACATAGCTGAAAAACTGTATTATGTCTGCGTTTGGAAAAAGTGCTCCAACCACTACATGTTAGAATATCTTGGGTAATCTCACTGCAAAAGGAACACTCAGATGGGCAAAGGCAAATCTCAGAATTTAGCAGTGCTTTAAAAGCTGTCATAATTTTACTTATTACAGCAAGGACGAAGAACAGCAAAAGAAGCTGTCCAGCAACACAGACTTTTCAAAGTACAGCAGTGATTTAGGAGTTTATTTCTATTTTAGTTCCAGTCAACCTTGAACTCCCAACTCCTAAAGTCACTTCAGGAAATGAGATGGATGTGCTGAGGTAGTCAGGAGAAAGTACTGGTTCACTAACAAACACTTCTGATGATGTCTGAGAGCACAAGCAATCCCAGTCAACGGGCCTTTCCTTAAAAAACAGTGGGTGCTTAAGTGCTTTGTTGGATTGTTGCCCAAGCGCTTCCCGACGTATTCTGTAATTAGATACTATCCACAGAAATTTACAGTTAATCCCTCCTTCATTCCAAGAAAGTCTAACCAGCAATTGACACTCCGAGCTAAATGGTGACATTAGCAAGTCACACCACCAAAGCAGAACCGTGACCACTGTCACCTTCCAATGTCTTTGCAGCTTTGCTCTTGGCAGGACGCTGACAACAGACCAAGTGCATTGCAATGGAACGTTCAGTCACGCGTGCCTGTATGCAAGGTTGAGAAAGCCACAGTGCCAGGAGGACACATGAAGTCCTCCCTGGTGCAGCCCTTAGTTTTGGCCCTGGAGCACAGCAGCAGGAGAGAGGTCATTCCAGAAAAGAGCCAGGAAAAGTAAAGCTGTAACAAACCTATTGACTTTCAATAAGGCATAAGACATCCTCTCAGAATACGGTTGGAGCAGCAGTCTGGAAACAGACGGAAAGCATAAGGCAAGAAATCCATGAGCTAATGGTGGAGGAGCTTAACATGGGACTAGTCACTTTTACGAATTATTTTGAGGAGAAAAGTAATGAGAAGGCAAAGACATCCAATCGTATGAAGGTGTCTTAACATGGCACACCCTTATGTGCTTCAAGCTGACCGCCAAAAAGACTTTGTGCAGTAAAGTGCAATAAAGTGTCCGGGTGTTTCAGGCAGCCCTTCTTGGGGAGCAGAGGCCCGGCTGCTCTGCTCGGGGAGCCCCCAGCACCACCGCTACACCCAATACTTTGCCAGGAAAGGGAGCTGGGTGCCACCGCTGTCTCTACTTCTCTGTGCTAGGTCTCTTCACATTATGAACTATGGCAACTGGGTGTGCAAGGACAATTACAGTAAGTGATAGCTGAATCTTGGCCTCATTAACATCGGCGGAACACTACTGAGTTGGGGAAGAACTTAGACGGCACATTTGACCTCTGTGGTAGCTAACGATGGTTTAAGCTGGCCAGGCACAGCTCACATTTAATATTACTCTGCTTCTAAATTAGTATTATGAATTGTCATCAGGTCTCACAGTGTACAACCAGCAAAGGGCTTCAGGTCTGCATGAGCAGCACTGCCTCTCTCCAGGGCAGATAGGTACGCTGCAGAGAAACACACCGCTGCACACATTTAGGAATAGCAATTCCAAGAAAAGATGGACGATGCCATGGCTAATCAACTCCATGAACCAGCTGGGGATGGATTAGACTTGATACGTGAAAGAGCCCTTCAGGTACCTTCGTACAACACGCCAAGCATCAAACCTGAGGCATCCTGCTGTTGTCTTGGGAAGTATCTTTGCGTGTTGCTCTGTATTGGCTACGGTGGGGTTTGGCTGGTATTTTTATTTTGGAGGTATTTCTTTTGTACATGACAGAGCGCTTGAGGCCAGATCATTTTTCTCTATTCTGGAGATGATTTTCACTCATTCTTTCCTTTGCATTGAACTGATTCCTTAAATGAACATTTCCCAGCCAGCCCCCTGAGCCCAATTGTGAGCACTGCCCATGCAGGCATAAGAAAACAGGAAAGGCTCTTCAGCTGGCAGACCAGAACCTTGGGGGGAAAAAAACCCCCACGTACTAACATAAAAAAGGTCATAGATTAGAAACTAGAACAATGAGAAAACAAAAACTTCTCAGCTGCACATAAGCCTTCTCATGGCAGCCCTGTGAGTTGGCAGGCAATAAAGGGAAGGAAATTTTCCTTTGCCTGAATCTTCAGTCCTTGATAGCTGTGTTTACCCTGTATCTGATCCAAAGGAAACATGTGAAGTGCCCTATTTATCAGAGCTGGTCTCACAGTCCATTTGAGTTACACTAATGTTTTCTGAGGGGCTGACACTACAGCCATGCCCATGTAGCTTAGTGCATTACCAAGGAAAGACAAATCTTTCGTACCATCTTTCTCCTGCCTTCTCTCCTGTCTGCTTCCTTGCTAACCTCAAAAAATGAGTTTTGCTTGCAGACCTTAATATACTGAGTTTGGAAATGGATTAAGCAACGCATTTAGAGATTTCTGACAGTTTTACCCTTCAGGAAGGAAATGCAAACAAAATTGAAGCTGCTTCATGAATCTTTAAAGTATCTGATACAAGATATGTTTTTCCAATGAACCACCAGGATGGAGATGGCTGTGGGTTTCTCTCCTTCACAAACTTGATGAATTTGCTGGGTATCAAGAAACCTCTCCTGTAGTTCTAGTATAAAAAACCTCAGCATGTCCCACACCTTGAAAGCTTCAGAATAGCCTGTGTTTGTGTTTGATAGCCACAGTAGGGGAAAGAAGCAGAACAGCCCTTCATTGGATACATGATCAATGAAAGGACAAAGATAAATACAAAAATATTATTGAATCCTTGCTCTTTGACGCTAACAAATGCAACTTTTAATCATCAGGTCAATGTGTTGGACACGATGATCCCAGGGGTCTTTTCCAACATGGATGATTCTGTGATTCTGTGTGGTTTGAGCCCAGTTAAACTAAAGGCTCAGAGTAACCTTACGTACAGGGTTACCTTCCAGTGCGTAAATGCTGCTATGACTTCTATAGGCACCGATGACTTAAAACAGCTAAATCACTAAATTTAGAGGCTAGTTCATTGCTTCATTTCTTTCTCCGGAAAGACACCGAGGCTTTGCAGCTAGTGCTAGATGTAACAGTAACTCCTCACATGCAGAAGCAAACTAGCATTATATTCTTGTTCTGCACTGGCACAACAGGGTAAATGTGACAAGCTGCAAACATCTTCCCCATCATGGGACTCAACTGCTGGCCAGTTCACAGCAAAAGCAATGACAGGCTACAAAACTGATTAGCTTCATGGGTCATGAATCTGTCAGGCAGAGGGCTCCAACTCCTTCCCAATTCTCCTTCTCAATAGAAGGTATTAACTGTATTATGCCATAACATCCTCTTTTTATTAAGGATGGATTTTTCTGCCCTATGCAAAAGGAAAAACAAAACAAAACT